TTTCCTGGTTCTGTTGTTTCCTGGTTCTGTTGTTTCCTCGTCCTCGGAGAGTCCTCAGAGGCTTCGATCCGTTTGGTCAGCGATTCTTGGTGCTGACCAAAAATCGAGGCCTCTGGGGACGAGAATCAAAAGGAAGGACCTGGGCCCCAGTACATGTCTAATAGAGGCTGAACTTGTCAAACTTGCGTTTTTCGTTTCTGAGAATGAGAATGGTGACGAGAATTACCGACTTCTGGAAGCAAAATCACCTGACCTCCAAGGGGAATGGAGCAGAAGTCATTCAAATTGATCTGAAAATGCCGAATATTTCTAGGCAACAATACCCAATAACTATAATTGAAATTCTGTTTATTGTTGGTAGTGACTAAAACTAAATTACAATTCTCTGAAGGCAAACAGATACTTTTCTCTTTACGGCGAAAAAAAAGTTCCTTATGGTCTTATAAAATTATGTTTTCTTTTCTTGCAGTTGTACACTGGTTCTTGAAAGCATATAAATCAGTCATACTCTTCGTAATTTCAAAGACTTCCGTCCACCAGACATTTCTTACGTGCAGTCTTCATTTTTCTCAGTTTTTCTGGTCATAACACCAAAATCAAGTTACTATAAAACAATGTGTTAGACATATAATGGCCATTACAGAAGTGTCGATTTATTATTATTCATTAAATTATAACTAAACTTAGTGATAACAATTGCGTGGTTTGTTGAAATAAAAACGACAACTTAGACAATTAAACCGAAAAATAATTTCGTCTTTTCAAATCACACGCAGCGATGGTAAAGAAAAGCTATTTAAAGTGAAAAATTCAATTTATAGCGCGTTCTGAGTTTCTCGGTTCAAATTAATTTAAATAAGAGAAAAATTGACCGGAAACGATTATTTAAAAAGGGAGGCATTTGAAACAACTTAAAAATCGTTCGTATTAAAAAGGCTACTTAAACCTCCACAGCTAGCTGACTAAATAAGCTGACTGAAACTCGAAAGATCTGAAGAAACCATTCAAAATTCTACGGCATCTTGAAAAGTGTCACGTCGGACCCAACAAAGGGAACAGATCGGAAATTAATTTAAGGGGGTCTGACAGCAAAACAAAGTCTTAGCAGTGTGAAAAAGAGGTACAATTTGTTCGTCAGATAACCATGTCGTCTACAGGCGTTGCATTTTCTGGTGGTGGAATCCGATCTGCAGCGCTTTGCTCTGGCGTGTTACGCTACATTCTTCAACACGAGATCGGCTTGGATTACTTGAGCTGTGTTTCGGGAGGCGGCTTTACCGGGGCTTCGTACCTCGACTGGAAGTACCGTCACAATCAACAAGACAGCCCGGAATGGCACCAGAAGTTTTTCAGTCGCTTAAGACAGCGTTGTGGGACGTTTTGCTCGTGGAGCAATCCCTTCATGGGAATCCTTGATACTATAATACTTCTTCTTCTCCTTGTTGTAGTGGCCATTGTTCTTCCAGCTTTCACAACCCTAGCCTTTGCTCTGCCAACAGCTTTTTCTGTAGATTACCTCTTTGGTGATATACTTCGTGCGGGTTTCAAATGCACCAGTGGTCTAAATATCACCGAAACCGAGGGTTGCGTGCTTGTAGAAAGTCATGACGAAACCTTCACTTTATTTGGCGCGCTGTTCGCATGTTCTGCGGGGTTTTATCTGTTGAAGTTGCTGTTTCACCCCTGTCGTTCCGCCATGCGCAGCAAAATAAAAATACTCTACTTCAGTGCTTTTTCTTTACTAGTCATGACGTTTCTTCCATGGTTTTTTGAAGTGTTTCTTCGAGTTCACACTTCGGTGTATGTCAATGGTTTTATTTTACTTGCCAGTGTTGCTCTGTGGCTCGGCTTTCCGCCGTTGCGAAACATGGCCTCCTTAGCCCTACTGGTTTACGCTTATGCTTACATAACAAAATGGCGAGTGTACAAAAGCCCTGTACTCTTCATTAGTTATTCAGAGGACACGTTTTACAAGGCATTGCTTGGATCTGCCATACTCCTGTGGGCAGGACCCTTTCTAGGGCTGATCAAAATGGCGGCGGTTCAAACATACGGCAGGTAAGTCATTTAAGACAGCTGCCGCGTTTTTTCTAGTCCTCAAACAAAATGACAGGATAAATAGGAAAGGAATTCAATGCCTTTGAAAAGCAAAGCCAGATCTGATAGATCAAATATATTGTCTGCCATGATACACTAATGATTCATTTATAAAGAATCAATTTTTGGAGAATCATGAAAAGCAAAGACATTTTTGCGTCAGTACTCGGGGAAGAAGGAGCTAGGAAAAAATTCCTTTAAAGAGGTCTTAGTAAAACTGAAAATGCTGGTATTAAGTAGATGTTGGTTGAATGAAGTCACTGGAATACGATACTAAGTAATTTTTTAACAAACGTTCATCGAAAGGCCGTACAGAAATCAGTGGTAACCTTAGAGAAAGGGGCGATTTGGGGGACCAAGTCCCCTAGGGATATTTTGAATTTCAAACAGTACAATGTCCTTTAGATCATTGGGCATTGCCTAGCAACCCTAGCCGGAAACTAGCAACAATTTTGTGTCCTGTAGAAATTTAATTTAAACGCTGCTGTAGGTTTTAAGGTCAAATGGCTTCTCTGCAGTTTTACTTTGACTACTTTGGTAGTCTCGGCAAGGTCACATTCAGAACTTGTCCTGAAAAAACACATTTAGAGAATTAATTTTCATAAAATTTCAGCCGTTGAATTGTAAAATTGAGAGATATATTAAAAATGATTAGCATTTAAAAAGCAACGGAGAGAAGAATTCAAATGCAATTCTCGCATGATAGCTTTGGCTCGTCAGGTCGTTTTGATTGCAGCTTTACGACGTATTGTAGATCTACTGGGAGATGTATGAATCTTCCTTTGCTATGAAGTTTTAACAGGAGCCATAATCGGGGACGGAGACCGTAAGCGCGCGCCATTTCTAGTATTGGGGTTGTCCCCATGACGTGGGACAATAATTCTCATTAGTCACCATAGGCTTATTCTCCACTGGCGTTAGGTCTGGGAGAGAAAATAAGAAACAGGATAACCTCGATCCCGGAGACTTCTCTGCCCAGAGAAAAGATCCTAGGAACGAGTTTGAGAAAGTGTTTCAACCTCGTTCCCAGGGTCTCTTTTCTAAAGTAAAGTACTTCTTCCCGTTCCCTGGAGCGATTGAGAGAGAGAAGAGGATGGGAAGAAAAGAGTCTCTGGAAACGAGGTTGAAAGAACTCCGTGAAGTGTGAAGCAATCTATTCCGCCTAAAAAGACTGTCTTTCCTTTTTCTAAGATGGCGTCTTCAGAAGGCGTTCTTCTCACCTGAGAACACCGGGTGCTTAGGATGTGCTGGGATATCTGTTAACGATATCATACCGTTTTGCTCATGCGCAGATGAGACTGAGTGGGAGAAGCTAGACAAAGGTTACGTCACGCTGGGTAAGTTCACTTTCTGTTTTTAATTAACGATTAGATTATGAGCTCGAGTTTTCTATCGCATAACAGTTGACGAGGGCGCAACCCTAGTAACCTATTACGCATAGAAATCGAGAACGAATAATCGCATTGTTTTACTATAAATCTCCAAGTCGTTCTTATAAATAAATTCTAAATCCTCTCCACAGACACTTCAAAAAACGCTAGGCTACTTTCTATCTGCAACAGAATAGATAGTAGCGTAACCAATCAAAGAACGGCATTCGTGCTGAATCTCAAGCTACTGTAACAATGTTTATTCCTATGCTTTGTTCCCAGGTGACCTTGCAGGCATGAAACCTGAGTACCTTTGTAATACAGTAGCGAACAACTGGCAAAAAAAACCCAATGGAAACAACCCGGACGCCTTCGAGCTTCTCATTCTCTCCCCCACGGGGATAGAACGGTTAGACGAGAACCCGGATGAATATAGCAGCTTTACAGGTTAAGTTAAATTACACCCCTTAACTAATATCTAATGATGTTCAGTATTTGTGTTTCAATGTAACGCTAACGGACTACCTTTTGATGTGATAGATGCGATAGCTTCGAGCTCAAGTTTGCTAATGCTGAACAAACAAACAAAGATTCAATATTAATTACAAGACAATTTTTTGTCGTCTAGGAAAAATTCAGCCACGTGATCTTAAGCTGTCTGACGTCATGGCTACGTCAGCGGCTGCTCTTGCACTATATATGGGCGTATATGATGTCATGACTGAGACAGTGCGGAACCTACAGATGGTGTTAGGAGTGCACTTTGGCAAATCCCTCATATCTGATCCAAGCAGGGATGTCGCGGGCTCGACAATTTCTTGTTGCAGAGTAAGATCCATCTTGCTTCTTTCTCCGCTCCGACAAACTCGCCTTCAAGTTTAAAAGTCATAACCGTCACGGTTCAACTCTCTTCTCAGGCTCGACTTTCACCGCTCTCTCGAGTCAAGTCCACATTTCTCCCGCTTCCTTCAGGGAAGGAGCGCTGTCTCCTTTCCCGAACAGCGGCTGGTAATCAAGCCTGCTCTCTCCTCGGTGTTTGGAAATGTGGTAAAACACGATCTCTCGTGTTTGATATATTACTTGCAATGTTATTGCAATGCAGTGCAAATTAATGCGCACGTGTTTCGTAATTTTTAGTGATGGTATGAATGCTCCAATGATAGTCGAAAATTCTCCCTCGTAGTGTAAATCATTATAGGCTACTTCCGAGTTGCCTTTTGCCTCTGTGTCAAAACGAGTCTTGTGCGAAAATGTGTTCTGTCTCATGCTCATTTTTATGTAAATCAAGCTCATTTTCAAATGAAAGGTTTTACACGAAGACTCGTTTTGAAACAGAGGCACAAGACTGAACTCGGAAATAATGGCTTGTTGCGCATTAATACAATAACTAACGATGTTTCGCTCATTCCCAGTTCCTCCCCATCATCATCCAGTTGTTTATCGTAGTTCCAGTCATTTTGCCACCGTTCCTTAGTGACGACTGGCACGTGATTGTGGTGGCCTGGTATCTAACCGTCCTCCTTCTGGTGCTGGTGATCGCCGCGTTACCAACAGGTCGTCAAAATGGCGGATACATTGAGAGGTTCGTGAGGTAAGAGGTTTGGAGAACGTTTTTCTTGGAGAATTTCCGTTGGCTACAAAACGTGCAGTGCTATCGTGGATAATAACAATGTTTGTTGTCTCTCTATATGAGTCATTATCAGAAATAAAAGTAATTAATATGAAGTGAGAGTTGTTTTCAATTGAGTGTCGAAAGTACTTTGGTTTTGGTTTTACTACGGTTTGATATTGGCTGAGTAGTCTAATTTGTAAGTAACTGGTTTAATTTTGGTTTAACGATACTCAACTGGAAACCGCTCTATAGGAATTTAAGAAAACTTCCATGGCCGAAAATTTTGGACATATGAGCCCGCATGGCAGCAACAGGAACGTCTCTGAACAAAAGGTTTAATGAGCATTACAATGCTTGCGCCCGTGCGTTATCATTCTTCGTACATTTCTTTGCCGTCCTCTCCACAAAAATAAACAACGCGAAATGACCAAATTTTGCGTTATCTGGAGAACGTGAACCACAACGACTAATTCATTTCTAATTTAAATTATATTTTAAACAAGAAATATCATGTTTGACCACATTTCTAAACACCGAGAAGAGAACTGAAAATATGACGCGTAGCGGAGCATTTTTGACGAACTTGTTGAGGTGGTCAAGCACGGAAATGTAGTCAAACACGGTCTTAAGTGCTTGATATATCTTTTCAATCAAAACTAAAACCAAGGAGAAAACGGAGAAATAAAAACGTAAAAATCTATGCTTACAGTCGAACCTCCCGTAAGCGACCACCCAAAATGTCAAGCCCATGTGGTCGTTTGCGAGAGGTGGTCGCTTACGAGAGCTTAGAACTGCATATTGGGTCAAACTGTTGCCTCATTAGCATATGGTAATTTTAAGACATTTAGGTCGTCTCTTTTAAGACTGATAGAGTACAGTGTATGTGCATTTTATCTTTAAACAGTTTCAATGTTTTATTCATGTGAAAAGTCAATTTCGAGAAAAAATCCGGTACTACCCAGGAATGCAATAATATTACAACACCTTGTTATCCAATTTTCGCACTATTATCTGTCAAGTGGTCGCTTACCGAAGGTTAAAAACAAAAGAAAATTTCAAACTTTCAGCTCTTAAAGTGGTCGCAGTCGCTTACGAGAGGTGGTCGCTTACAAGAGATTCCAAATATAGTGATTTGACTGGAAAACTTTTGGTATTTTGGAAAACTGGTCGCTGAGGAGAGGTGGTCGCTTACGAGAGGTGGTCGCAACCGGAGGTTGCACTGTAATTAGAATAAGAAATATACACGGAATAATCGAAAAACGGAAAACAATGGGCAAAAACAAAACAATATTGAGGCGCCGTGACTATACTGATTGCCTGACTTCGTTGCTTAGTTTTGACCAGAGAAATGGTCCCAAGTATCTAATGCTGTGTTTACCAAAGGCCACAGTGTTAAATCTCGGTATATAAGTCAGCATTCCTCAAGGCATACCCAGTCGAGTTCAATTCAAAAAGGTCACTAACATACTTCGGACACAGGTACATGAGTGCAGCCACATCCTGGAGCCGACGATTACATAGCGTTGGAAGGTTAGCCCGTTCTAAAAGATCAGTATAAGCTGCAGTTTCATTGCAATATACAGCTCGTAGCGTTTTTTACTGCACACGCTCCAGTTTGCGCGCATCTGATGCTGTACAGAAATGCCAGACAATGTGACAGTAGGTCAGTAGTGGCAATATGACAGATTTGTACATCAGGAGTTGGACCGACTGTGCTACGATGTTACGCAGGCGTAGTAGCACTCCGACCTGCTCTGATGCCTTTATTGTAACCTCGAAAAAAATTTTTTTTTGAAATTCATGTGGTTATCAGTAGTTCTAGTAGTTCTTATGTCGGATGGCTCTCCACCGATGTGTCCGCAATAACAATATCGATATCTTTGTCCCCAGATTTGGGTCCAAATCTTATCGTTTGGTATTTAGAAAAATTACCTTGGGGTGCATTTATTGAGTACCAATGTGAGATATTCCTGCCCTCATCATTTAGTGTACTTTCTACAACTTGAATTCTTCGTCCAGTTGCATAGAGCTGATGGTCGTCAGCATACATCGACAAAGCACAGTTACGCATATTTAAAAATGTTAGGTCGTTTTGGAAAATGTTCCATAACAAAGGCCCAAAAGTCGACCCTTAATAGCGCTTGTGGACAGCCCCTACTGCTGACGTCT